CTAGAAATAATGTTTGTTCCAAAAGGTACTTTTAAATAACATTTCTCTAATGACAGAAGTCCTGATTATCAATTTAATATAAGAATTTAATTTGGTTAATAATTTGTGCAATATAGCACTGTTTTTTTTTCAACCAATCACTCCACATAGGAACGGAAGTGACAACGCCCCTAAACGCACGAATGATGTTCAATAAAATGAATTGATTATTAAGGCAAATTAATTAATATTTCATCAAGGTTTTCAAAAGCAACTCATATATCAATGTAAATGACCCCCATCTTCACCCCCAAGTGCATGATGTTACTCCATACCAAGTTTGGAATAAAATGACAGGTGATTATAAAACAGTTGGTCAAACATTCTCGGATTTACACTTCTTGAAAGATTTATATGTTTTCTTTAAAATGGGCCATAAATGAAAATTATTATAGGCCCAGAAATAATTGAATAAATAATTAAAGTAAATTCAATTAACCTAGACTCATTTTTTGCATCAATAAAATTTTATAATAAACAAGAAATAATTTTAACAGGATGCCGTTAGGAAGTCTCCCAAACAAAGCCCCATAATTCGTCATTCCCATGGTCTCCTGACATTGGGCAAAATCCAGTTCATATTGGTTTGGTCTAGTAAAGTGATATGCATATGTGACACCTAGGAGACTGACCATGTATGTCATTCAAATCTTTTTGAAATGATGAACAGGAATAAATATGGTTTAGGTGTGGGTATCTCGACCGTTTACAAGTTCACAAACAGGAGGGGGTGGGGTGTCCCCATGGATTCCCCCTATATTTCATTTGATTTGTTTTATTGTCCCATACATGAATATATATGGTTTAGGGGTGGGGATCTCAACCATTTCCAAGTTTTCAAACAGGAGGGGGTGGGGTGACCCGAGGAACTCCCTCTATATTTCATTTGATCTGTTTTATTGTCCCATACATGAATATATATGGTTTAGGGGTGGGGATCTCAACCATTTCCAAGTTTTCAAACAGGAGGGGGTGGGGTGACCCGAGAACTCCCAATATATTTCATTTGATTTGTTTTATTGTCCCATACATGAATATATATGGTTTAGGGTGGGGATCTTGACTGTTTACAAGTTCTCAAACAGGAGGTGGTGGGGTGTCCCCAGGGACTCCCCTATATTTCATTTGATTTGTTTTATTGTCCCATACATGAATGTATATGGTTCACGGGTGGGGATCTCAACCATTTCCAAGTTCTCAAACAGGAGGGGTTGGGGTGACCCCAGGGACTCCCCATATATTTCATTTGATTTGTTATATTGTCCCATACATTAATACATATGGTTTAGGGGTGGGGATCTCGACCGATTACAAGTACTCAAACAGGAGGGGGAAGGGTGACCCCAGGGACTCCCCCTATATTTCAATTGATTTGTTTTATTGTCCCATACATGAATATATATGGTTAAGGGGTGGGGATCGTGACCATTTCCAAGTTCTCAAACAGGAGGGGGTGGGACGACACAGGGGTCTCCCCCAAATTATTTTCATTTGATTTATTTGATTGTCCCTTACAAGTATATATATTGTTTAGGGGTGCGATGGTTTACAAGATAAATGTACATTTTCAAATTGAAGGGGGTTGGGATGACCCCCAGGGACTCACCCTATATTGTGGTTGATTTTTTTTTGTCCTGTTCTCATTACTGAAGACTGCAAGTGTCTATCACTTACTGTTTTCGAGAAATAATCATTTGAAAATTTAATATAAAAAAATAAAATCCCATAAGGTTCTATAGTAAACCCCTCCCTTCTTCAGGCTCCTCCAAATACCCCTAAATAGACCCCAATGCACAAACAAAAGATTAATGGCTCCGCTAGACATGTTAGTCTAATATTTTATGAAACCCCAAGTATATCTGACAAACGGTCAAAGTTGTCTTCTTAGACGGTTTGAGTAGATTTGGTCCGACTTGTCTCTGGGACGAGTTGTCCACATTACTTAAAACATCCCATCGACGTCAATTTCCTCATCTGTTTCATGGCCTCGTTTCATTCATAAAATAACAACCACCATATTTGGCAAGATTAGTTAAAAATTCGTAAGGGTTCCGCGGAACCCAGTGTCTCGCCTACTTTTGCTGTTAATCACAGGCTCAACAAAAATGAGGAAAAAAATTAATAAAAATATTCCTCCCTATACTATCTTTTGATTGTAAGTAGCTTCTGTCCAAGTTTGGTAAAAATCCAGGATAGTTTATGAATCTAATAAATGTTTTAAAAACTTAAACTGCAGACTGTATGTAATGTTAACTGGAAGAAAAACTAAGTCCATTTATAAGTAAAATACGAAAAAAATGGAACAAAATTTTAACAAAATTTCCTTCTAGATACTAGCTTTGTATCATAAACAAGCTTCTGTCCAAGTTTGGTAGAAATCCAGGATAGTTTAAGAAAGTTATTAAAATTTCAAAAACTTTAACCATAGAGTGAATGTAATGTTTCCTGGCAGAAAAACTAAGTCCATTTATAAGTAAAATACAGAAAAAAACATAATCTTTTTTTTACAAAATTTACTTTTGAATATTATCTTATGATCATAAACAAGCTTCTGTCCAAGTTTGGTAGACATCCAGGATAGTTTAAGAAAGTTATTAAAAACTTTAACCACAGAGTGAATATTTGTGGGCGCCGCCGCCGACGGAATGTAGGATCGCTATGTCTCGCTTTTTCGACAAAAGTCGAAGGCTCGACAAAAATTACCACCCACTTATATAACTTTATTTAACTTAAAGATTTGTTGTACATGAACAATATTCCTGCGCATTTTGCCATTTTGGAAATATAAACAACTTGTAATTACCGATTTTCGGCGATGAAATATTTCATACAATTGTTCTATGACATCGTAGCCAAAAGCACAGGGGATAATAAACTACGTACAAATTTTTATTGAGCACTACTTCCTATGTGCAACTTCAAAAGTTTTGGGTAGTTCGACGATCATTTACGGTTTTTCTGGTCATATTTTTTGTATTCCAGAAATAAAAGTATTAAAAAAAATGTCCAATTAGTTATAAATAACATAATAGCCAGCTAGATAATAACAATGGCCCGTATTTCAGCAATTATTGGTTAGAACACAAATCTAGGGTGCTCGCATAAGGCAGCTTAACTGCCTAAAAATTTGTAAGGGTTCCGCGGAACCCAGTGTCTCGCCTACTTTTGGTGTTAATCGCAGGCTCAACAAAAATGAGGAAAAAAATTAATAAAAATATTCCTCTCTATACTATCTTTTGATTGTAAGTAGCTTCTGTCCAAGTTTGGTAAAAATCCAGGATAATTTATGAATCTAATAAATGTTTTAAAAACTTAAACTGCAGAATGTATGTAATGTTGACTGGAAGAAAAACTAAGTCCATTTATAAGTAAAATACGGAAAAAATGGAACAAAATTTTATCAAAATTTCCTTCTGGATACTATCTCATGATCATAAACAAGCTTCTTTCCAAGTTTGGTAGAAATCCAGGATAGTTTAAGAAAGTTATTAAAATTTCAAAAACTTTAACCACAGAGTGAATGTAATGTTTCCTGGCAGAAAAACTAAGTCCACTTATAAGTAAAATACGGAAAAAATGGAATTTTTTTTTAACAAAATTTACTTTTGAATATAATCTTATGATCATAAACAAGCTTCTGTCCACGTTTGGTAGAAATCCAGGATAGTTTAAGAAAGTTATTAAAATTTCAAAAACTTTATCCACAGAGTGAATATTTGTGGACGCCGCCGACGACGACGCCGACGGAATGTAGGATCGCTATGTCTCGCTTTTTCGACAAAAGTCGAAGGCTCGACAAAAATGGATTTATAAACAAAAATTCCCCCTTTTTACTAATAAATGGACTTATTTTTTGGCAGTCACCATATTACACATTGACAATGACAGCTGCAATTGTAGGTGAGGAACCCTTTCCCAATAGACCACTTTAGATTATATCCTTCACTGGAAAATTTTGTCAATTATACACGCCTTTATGACGTCATTTACCAGATAGAGGGGACCACCTGTATCACTGCACTATTTAAAGTTCATCAAGTGTCTTCGAGATCGTCATTATGCAGGATGAACTAGAAATAATGTTTGTTCCAAAAGGTACTTTTAAATAACATTTCTCTAATGACAGAAGTCCTGATTATCAATTTAATATAAGAATTTAATTTGGTTAATAATTTGTGCAATATAGCACTGTTTTTTTTTCAACCAATCACTCCACATAGGAACGGAAGTGACAACGCCCCTAAACGCACGAATGATGTTCAATAAATCCAAAGTTTTACATCATGACAAGTTATAGATCAAGTTAGCATTTTGTTCCAGTACAATGAATTTTTAACCAGTAGGGGACTATGTATTGCCATGCAATACTCTCAAAATGCTTGTTATTATAATTATTACAATTAACACTTTGCATAATTGTTTTTAGAAAATATTTGTTAATATCACAAAAAAATTGCTAATTTTGTTTATTTATTGTAAATGGTATGATTTTTAACTATATTCATCTAAAACTATCACTTTATATGAACTATAGTTGAATAACACTAAAAATTTTTTATATTAAAAATACATGTCTTAAAAGGCATATTCAATGCAAATGGGGGAACAAGTACAAGAAACCTTAATGTGATATACATTTTAAATAACAACTTTACGGCACCAGATGCACATTTCAACAATCAATGTCTCTTCATCAGTGATGCTCAAGGCCATAAATTTTTCAATCTTTCTGATAAGAATAAAAAGAAATTAAGTTTGTTTTGTATAGATAACAAAATGAGGAAATTAAAATTTATTTTCTTTCTGTGAAAGATTTTGTTCCAAAAATATTAAAACAACTAGAATGTGCACGTGTTCTATTCTTCTTTTGACTGTAGGAGATTTTGCATAAACATGGACAGACATACATATATACAGGATGAATACATTAGGCTTCCTTTCTCATTAGATATTATACATACTTTTTCTCCAGTTCTACAATCTCTGTGTAATCCTCCGTTTGTCCATAATATCCATGATCATTGAGACCAGTCCAGAAATTGGACCAGTAATTTTTATACTGTGAAAGCATTGGTGCAAGAATAGTTCTGAAGTAAGAAATGTGTTATACTCAAATGTATCCGTAAAGCAAATAATCTTAAGGCATCTGTACCATAAATTAAATCACATAACTGCCAAGAAAAGTCTTTAGAAAATGTTTCTTACTTAAAAAGAGAGATACAATCAAGTCTTAAAGACAGAAAGACAGACAGTGATTACTAATCAAAGTGCTTGTAAACACTGAAAGGTAAAGATTGCTTTCATTTATCAGTGGGAAGTAAAATTAAACATTGCATTGTAAAAACATTGGTTGTAGTTGATTCAACTACAATTATATATGAAAAAAGGAAGATAACTTCAATTTTTTAAAGATTACTTTTACAATGACATCATTGATATTTTTAGAACAGATATTAGATTACTGCACCTTGCACAAGTTATGTAATTTTCTTGACAACTTTTTGTAACTTGAATATCTGAGCATAGATTTCATTGATAAATTTCTAGAAGTGTTCATGGATAGGATGTTTAGAATGTAATGATCAATGCACTATATTTTGTGTATCTCAAAAGTAGTGATAAACCTTGGAAGATTTAGATATCAAGTCAGTACCATTGGGTTTTGATTGCATTTCATGCAATCTTTACCCAAAAAGCACCTATTTTTGGGCCTTTATAAGTAATTCATAGTTTAATGTCAATATATGAATAGTTTTCATCACAAAATTAACAAACTTTTGATTGAAGAACATGTCATGAAATAGAGGTTCTTTCATAGTATTATAGTTCCATAAGAATGGAATATTCTGTAATGTTTTTTTTCCACTGGAACAAATATAACAGAATTTATTCCTTATGGACTAATGGGTATTGAAGACTTGTTCCAACAGGAACAGATATTATGGCATTGTTTATAACAAAGTTTCCAGCGGAACTGTTAAACAGATTATATATATATGCTGACAAAGTTACTATCTATTATCATTTATAAGAATTGTATTCTGTAAATTCAGAAATTATTGCGAGGTTTTTATCAATGCGAAAAATACGACTGGGTGAGCGTCGCAATAATAAAAACCTGCATTCTGATATCTGATCCATATATATATCTTAATGCACATTTTCTTGAAATTGCATTAATTGAATATTGCATTTTTGTTCATTCTTCAAAAATAGCAATAATAATTGCATGCAATAATTTCTGAATTTACAGTATACTAATAGACTCCTCCAAAGAAATGGATCCTAATTTATCTAACTTTAGTGTAAACCTTGTAAACTAGATATTTATAACCTGTTTTGTTCAATCAAGTCTTAAAGTGTTTTAGGATCAGTAAATAAGATATCTATAACCTGTTTTGTTTAATCAAGTCTTCAAGTGTTTTAGGATCAGTAAATAAGATATTTATAACCTGTTTTGTTTAATCAAGTCTTAAAGTGTTTTAGGATCAGTAAATAAGATATTTATAACCTGTTTTGTTCAATCAAGTCTTTAAGTGTTTTAGGATCAGTAAACTAGATATTTATAACCTGTTTTGTTCAATCAAGTCTTTAAGTGTTTCAGGATCTGTAAATAAGATATTTATAACCTGTTTTGTTCAATCAAGTCTTTAAGTATTTTAGGATCAGTAAATAAGATATTTATAACCTGTTTTGTTCAATCAAGTCTTTAATTGTTTTAGGATCAGTAAATAAGACATTTATAACCTGTTTTGTTCAATCAAGTCTTCAAGTGTTTTAGGATCAGTAAATAAGATATTTATAACCTGTTTTGTTCAATCAAGTCTTCGAGTGTTTTAGAATCAGTAAATAAGATATTTATAACCTGTTTTGTTCAATCAAGTCTTTAATTGTTTTAGGATCAGTAAATAAGACATTTATAACCTGTTTTGTTCAATCAAGTCTTCAAGTGTTTTAGGATCAGTAAATAAGATATTTATAACCTGTTTTGTTCAATCAAGTCTTCGAGTGTTTTAGAATCAGTAAATAAGATATTTATAACCTGTTTTGTTCAATCAAGTCTTTAAGTGTTTTAGGATCTGTAAGATGAACATTCCCATCCACAAAGAACAAATAGGCACATTTAGTCCGTAAACATTTATCTCTACAAAAAAGAAAAGAGATATATTTTTTTTAAAGACTAATAGTAATGCAAGTAAAAGAAGTAATGAACTGTTGATTTTTTCCATTTATAAATTATATATTTCCAACACATTGCATAGTTATTCCAATTTTTTTACATAGCAGATAACACTTTATTTTACTAAGCAAATAATTAACACTAGTACTGTAATTATTACCTAGCAGTTTACACTGTTATGTGTACTTACATAGCAGTATTCCTAGCAGCAGTACCTGTCATTTTGTCGTTAGGTGAAATCACTGTTACAGATCGGTATTCATCACTGCAACCTGACAGAAACAGTTCAACATCAACCTCATGATAATCTGCCTGCAATTCATTAAAGTCGTATGAGACACGTTTCTGGTGATTATTATATTTAGGAAATTATTGAACTAATGTATGAATATATGTACTAAACTAAGTCCTCTGAGTATGTTTTTTTCTAACATTTATTACGAATCTGTAGCATGTGATGGACAAAAATTATTTCATTCATTGATTGTTGATCTGAAACTTTGGCTGCTAATTAACTTTCAGGTTTTTTGTGTTTAAGTGTACCAATTGTGACCTTGACTGACAATCAACACAGAATCAAGGGGCACATGCAAACTAAGTGAGATGAGTAGAGCGATGTTTATTATATTTGTTATATTGTCCATGCATCCTTATCTCGGGGAGGGGGCACTTCAATACTTAATTGATAGGGGGTACCACTCAAGGATCCGGAAATTTTTTCACACAATTTCAGTCATTTTGAGATGTCTTAAAAGTTTGTGCCCTTTTTCAAATTATCGATATCGAATGGTCACTAGATTCATAGCATCAACGAATTTATATTGGCAGTTTCATCGCATTTACTTCGTGAATTTTCTTACCATTTTACTCAAACCATTCAAGAACAGTTTAGGGAAGGCAACAGTTTAAATTTGAAATGATTTTAATGACTCAAAATGGTTAATTTCTCAGACATTGCTAACGTTTTTAGACGAAAATTTAAACCGGAAGTTTTGCGACAATTCTAAAGTACAATTAATTCCGGATTCATTTCGGGGATTCATTTTGTTTATCAAATTGACAGGAAATCACGTGGTTTTAAATTTTATTACCTTTGAAAGTGTTTGAATATAATAGATATTAGTTGCACTCGTTTAATTATGCATGGAATCATTCTGCATTTTACGATTAAGTGTCCTATCTGCTGAAGACAATTTCACGCATGCCTATTACATAGTAAATAAAGCACATGTGTTAAAATTACTCGTGGAAAATTACTTTTTTCTATGTAAATTAAATTAAGTTTTAATTTTCAAATCAGAATTATTGATTGTCTTTGCTGAAAAGTAATTAAATAATGAATACAGTTGTCATGGAATTTTAATTCCTTTATGATATTAGTTCTGAGCTTGTGATCATTGTCATGTGTGAATTAAAAACACAGGTAAAAAGTGATTAGCGATCATTAGCCAATATTTCCCGGAGGCATGATATAGTTATTAGGAGGGTCCTCAGGATTATCAAACTATACTGGAGTGGCAATTTTATTACAGGAAAGGGATTTTAAAACAAAAACAAGGGCAAAATAGCGATTAAGAAACCCAATTTCAATGAAATGACAGAAATTATTTCTGTAAAAAAATAAAATTTGTCCTAAATCCCAATTTTTCTTATGGGACAAATAGCTTGCAGCTTAGGACATGACTGGCAAATATGAACGTTTCCATACCCTTGGTACCACTGGGGTTCTGCTACCCAACCCTTTTCATATAATTTAAATATTAACAAAAGTACACATGCTGAAATGTCTCGCCTGTTTTACATATCAATGAATTTATGTTGAAAGTCTGTCATATGAAGGTTTTACAAGTATCACATAAACTCATTGACCAATGAACCATGAAAATGAGGGCCCTGTCATATCAACCCTGCCAGAAAGACAAGTTTACCTTACAATCATTCCATACACTAAATATAGTTGACTTATTGCTAATAACATCTGATAAACTGACAAAAACACAAAATTTATAATTGACCAATGAACCATGAAAATGAGGTCAAGGTCATATTAACCCTGCCAGACAGACATTTACACCTAAAACAATATCTATGTCTCGCTTTCCGCGACTTTCGTCACAGGCAAGACAAAAACAGATTTTTTTTTAAGCAGTCACTGAACCATGAAAATGAGGTCAAGGACAATGGACATATGACAGACGGAAACTATGTAACATAAGGTATCTGCAAACAAGGTATGAGGCATCCAGATCTTCTATCTTCTGAAATGTAATGCTTTAAACAAAAAGTTTACACCGTCACCGGATTGTAATACCTATGTCTTGCATAATGTGACTTTTGTTGCAGGAGAGACAAAAATGTATACCTTTTCATATATTGCGTAGGTAAAAATGTAATCTTTTCCCATATTGGTTGGGTTTCATGTGGTGTTTTGGAAAAGTGGAATACTTGAGGCTAAGATTCCTTATGTCATGTTTACCTATGGCAAGACTTTCGGCTGTGAAAAAAAGACAGGACTTTTCATATCACAAATAATGGGAACTTTATTGACCCTATCATATATTTCTGATAGTATAGCTTTCCCCTCATGATAATCTGGAAAATGTTACCTATTCCAGCGGCACATTCTATCACCTTGTATATAGGAAGTGGCCCCCGAGATCATTATCAGTCAATTAAACTTTGTCATAAGTTACAGTTGTTAACTGATTCGGTGACTTAATATTTTTCTTTCAGAAATGACTTGTGATAAAAGTATTAAGAAGGTTAGTATCTGAATCTTACATTATTGTATACCAGTAATTCTATTCTCTTCTTCGGATAATCAAGATCTTTTATTGTTTTTAATCCTTCAACCAGAAATGGTATTGGGTGGTCGATAAAAACAGATAACTGAACTATTGGGTAGTCGTCTTCCTGTAAATTTAAAACTTTATACAAAAACAAAATAAATTATGTATGAAACTAACAATCCATTCAGGTATATATCAAAATTCTAAAATAGTGGGTCTGAAATTTTGGAAGATAGGCTCGAAGAATAGTAAGTCTGAAAGACAGTCTGCTTGACTAAATAATATTACAAATTGATGTTTTGTGATAATTTATGTCAGGCATTTGTCAAGACACATTTCAATTGCCTGACTACACTAAAACTTAACTGAAAATGCCAGACTGTCAGATTTTGAGACCACTGTAAGTGGCTAAAATGCTTTAGGTGGTGCCGAGTACGATTAAAATTCAGAATTTATAGTAGATGTTATATTCATGTGACTACAATAACTTGTAATTACACAATTAATAGAAAATATTTATCAGGCCTAAACAATGCATATAAGTACCTTTATTCATGAAACACATTGACTATACTGTTGATAACTTTAAAGTAAAGAAATAGTACCAAATATCAAAAGTAAATTTCCAGTACTACAGATTTTAAGTACAGAAATAGTACCTATGCAAAAGTAGCAGTGTATGACCCACAAAGATTAGTATCCAACAAATAATAATTAATCCACAGTAACTATTTTGTTCATATTGAAACATGTGATATAAAAACATGAGTAAAGTTTACTAAAATACACCTTTATTAATCTCAACTTCCCTTCTCTCCTCCTGCATTCAGTAAGTATGGAAGGAAATACATTCTTTCCTCAGTAATATTTACCTTCAATTCTTTTAGACTTATAGTACTCCTTGAACATGCAGCACACCCAAAATTTTCTGTCCATTCATCTGCTAAATCACTGGCTAAACGATTAAATGCTGCCTGTTAATAAGAAATATATATATATTAGTGAAGTCAATAAAAACATTATCAGGATATACATATATTGTGTTTTGATCTATTGTAGTTTTCTGAATTACATGTTTTTTCTTTGTTTATTATTATCATGTATGAACAAAAGGAGATGTATAGTATAAATCTATGAGACAGTACCTTCATATCATCGTTTTTTGTGGACTTCCCCTTTTTGAATATACCTTAGTTTTTGATATTTTTGTGATCACATTTTTCCTTAAAACAGCTGTGAATAAAGGAGTAAGTTCATGAAGGTTTAAAATTGGCCCTAAGAGTTTAATGTTTTTTTTTAATCAGGCCAAAATACTACACATTTTACATAGAAATAGTTGAGATATTACTTTAAGTACAAAATAACTTCATTTTGGCACATCACATTAAAAATAACAAAGTATTGATGCCGTAAGTATGCATTACTTGTGTTGTAACATCAATTTTGGTCAAACTAAGAATTAACAGTTTTTAGCATAATTTACTTTGGCCGCAACCTATGATCCAGAAAGTTTTTATGTCTAGAAATTCATTATCATCATAATGGCAACTTTTGGTTACAGAATATTTTGAATCCTAGGTTGAGAACAAGGGTTTCCTCAAGCTTTTAGATCCGGATAATGCACAAAATCATCATATTTTGACAATATATCCAAAATGCGCTGATATTGAAGCCAAGAATGTACTCTTATGGAGAGATTTATTTTAACAATGAAGTAAGGCTTTTGAAATAGATCCATTTAAAAACCAACTTATGGCCATTTTGAAATTTTAAGATAAAGATGAAATTCAAGGCCATATTTGGCCTAAAGGGAACTTTGTCCTTTAACAGGGACTTTCAAGTATCTGCCAGAAGCACCAAATTCCTTAAATCTAAATGATAAAAACGACAAAAATTACTAAAATCAAAGCAAAAGACAACTACTTGCAAGGGTCCCGACATGGGACAGGCCAGGGTCCCGACATGGGACAGGCACATATGAACATGGTGCATGTTTATTTCCTTTTCATCATTTGTTCTTCCACTGAACAAGATAGAGAGGTTGAGCCGTCACAGCACTAACTTAACCCTGCTTCATACTGATGTGCTTGTCTCAATTAAGTAATTTTTAATTGGTGGTGGATCTTGGTTTTTTGTCTAACGAATTGAAGGTGAAACTTTATTGAATGTCAAATCTTTGTCATCTTCACTGATTTCTTTCATAACTTTAGAGCATGTTACAACATGTGGTTGCTATTTCAATCTTGGAGACTGTATGATGACCAACAGATTTTTTTTAGTGATCTTATGCAGTTTGGATGCCTCATTTGCATATTTACCTCTCATTTTCCTTATATTTAAGTATAATCAGATTGGAAATACTAGTATCAAACAGTGAACAACATATTATTATTTAAAAGGTGCTTGAGTACAAGATTCAAGTCATCTATTTTTCATAATAAAGAGAAGAAAGTCCCTGGACTGAATAAAAACTCATAGAATTATTTAATAAAACTTGATAACAAATTTAAAATTAGAAAAAAACTTGACCCTACGACAGGAAGCGCATATACATAAGGGAATTTTTCATCTTAATGAAATATTAGTTAAATAATTCTTAACAAGTAATAATCAATCTATAAGTAGAAATTGTGATTTCTGATGACTCCATAGCTCTTCTGCATATATATATACCACCATATCTCAGTAGCATGAGTTCGAATCCCGGCCAAGGAAGAACAAAAAATTTGCTTCGGCAAATTTACAGATCTAACATTGTTGGGCTGTTATTTAGACAAATTATGTATACAGTATGTATTTTCAGCCTTGTATCACCATCACTGGTGATCCGATGGATAAAATCTGTCGTAGAGTTGTCACTGATTCAGATGAACTTATATATATATATTTGTTAATATGAGGTACTGTGGATTCAGTATTATTCTTGGATACCAGTTTTAATAGATTTAGTGGTAAATAGGTGAACCACAAATTCAAATACTCAATGAAGAATACATTTTAGATAGACTTGTAAGCAGAATTCAGCATTACCACAAAAATATAATTTGCCCTCATCCACAAAAATTGGTACTCATGAAAACAACTGAATCCACAGTAAACAGGCAAACCCAATTGTGAACATACAGACTCAGATACAAGCAAACCCAAAAAAGAGTAACTCAATATTTTTGTTTTTTTCTCCTTTAATAATTTCTCTATCATCTTTTAAGCAAACTAAAATTTATCAAACACTGAAAACCTATGAATTACTCCTTTTAAAAAAATTCCATATACAATTAATTTATACATATATACAAAGAAAATCCCAATCAAAACTTACCTGAAATGGTAATGTCTTAACAATTCATAAATAAATTATACTTATGATATATTGATGAGACACACTTATAAAATTACAGATTATATATTGTATGTCACTGTTATGAGAATATCAATACCTTAACTCTAGAAAAAAATTAATAAAATTGAGAATGGAAATGGGGAATGGGTCAAAGAGACAACAACCCGACCAAAGAGCAGAAAACAGCCCAAGGCCAATAAACATATTCTACAGAAATTTATCTAAATGCATGGACCTCTCTTTTTTTTTAGATATATATATCAAAGCAGAAACCAAGTTAGCCAATATAGTTGTAAACTAATAAGTTCAATTAATTCGTTGCAGAGGCTTTTGATTAATACTGCTCAAGTTTGTTTAACACCTAGAAATATAGATTCTACCACTGCATTGAGTGTAATACGATATTTCTCCACTCGAGACAGTTAAATTTTCAAATTTAAAACGCGAGGCTTGCCGAGCGTTTTAAATATTTAAAATTTAGCTGTCGAGAGCGGATAAATATCGTATTACACGAGATTTGGTGGTGGAATCTGTTTCTCTAATGATTTTCAAACAATACGCAGGCAAATTTATTCCTTCTTTTCGAATGATCTGCAAAAAGATGTGTTCTTTCTATGTGACGTCATCAGGCATGGTCGCCTTTTTTCATGCCGTCACAATAGGAAATTCAGAGGAAAGCAAGAAAATTCGACATCATAATCGGATTTTAACCAATGAAGAACTGAGATCAAAGGAACCACACGTTGATTAAATTTTTTTTATGCAATGGGTGCAGAAAGGGATAAATTGACGAAGAATTAGAGAATCAGGTTTATATACCTTTCATACATTTATCCAAGTTATTTAAGTTTCAACAACTGACAACTGAAAATTGTGACAAACAGTCACTTGCAGAATGTAGCCTCTGTGTGAAGCCTCAAATATACTTTAATATAATTTTATCTAAACAGATTAGCCTGGTAGAATTGAAAACAATACAAGTTTGGCAACATCTACATACTTTTATTGGTCCATTACCATATAAAATTAACGGCTTACTCCCAGTCTTTCTGTTGACAACATAACTGTGGTTTCCTTTATATTTCACTTCAATGTCTTCTACAAAGGAGAATTGAAAGTGAAAATAATGTCAGTCATATCTATACTACTAAAATAACGAGGTCCAATTTGTCAGCTGGCATGACGTAAAAAGACGAATCAAATAATTCAACTTTATATATAACTAACAATGGACAATGGTGTTGATTATAAATTACACCATCCCAGGCCATTTTGTTTTCCACATGATTAATATTACCAATAATCAACAAGTTCCGCGTCAAATCTGATACCAATACCAATAGTATATGCATCATCTTCCCTTAGTAAATTCCTCCGTTATCAGAGCACCCGTGTTATACGGTATTAAAAGCCCTTAATATAAATATTACTTATTGAAAAATCATAAATTAAGAATTAAAATACTAAAACAAAAAAGGTATATACATTCCTTCATAAAATATTATTGTCCTAAAAATATACAGAAATGTAAACACCGTAACTGAATACTATTTATATACACCTATTAGTGCAAGTGAATTATTTACATATTGCATACATATAAAGAATGTTGGTTTAATCCCTGACATATGTCACATGTAGTTTCCTGTTGTAGTAAGAAAACCAGGAGGGTTCAAACAGAAAGATTTTGAAAGCAGAGAAAACTGTACACCTTATAATAAGCATGACCAATACAAATACTAAAAATCCAGGCTATAAATAAGGTGTAGGTACTTTAATTGAGTCACAGATCCGTGATGTCACTGGTGCGTTCTAGTATATAATAAAGATTAAGGAAATAGATTTTGAAGAATTGGAATATGGAATATATACTACAAACATGACAGAGAATTGAAATATAGTTGATGTAAAGGGGCTATGCATGCCAGTACCACTAAAATGAAACTTTTTTTGTTATTATAGGAAGTGTAAATTAATGTTGAGTAAATTTTCATGTAAATTCAGACAAAAAATGGTAATTCAGACTTTTAGACTTTTGTAGTGAAAATACCTTGTAAGGGCTATTCCATTAAAATGTATGTGGGACTCAGGGTAGGAAGGGAAGTTTAATTATTGAATGTGGGTCATGGGTCTTTTTTCAGTATGCGTCCATTATCATTATGCAAAATTATCTAAAAAATGGTTCTTGGTTGTAAGGATATTTTGAAAGTCCCTTCCTACCCTCATACATACATTTTAATGGAATAGCCCTAAGAAGGAATATCTATCAAAACTTTGGATTCAGAATCTTTTAAGTCATATGAGTGGATCTGACAAAATGGAGACTAAAGTATGAAAAGCTAATATTCCAACAACAACAGACAACAGATGCCAAGAGACTGGCAAAATATCATGTGGCCATGGGCCAGGTGAGCTTGAAAGTGCAAACACTATGATTGAAAATATTGAGGAATCACTGAAGATTTTCTTAGTAATAAATAATACTGAACAAAGAAAACACACCAGTCACCAGCACACATTATAATTAAATTACCTAAATTATCTACAGCACTTTGGAATATCTCTGACTTTGTATCTATTTTTAAGTTCCATTGTTCCTGAAAAACAAAAAGAAAACAAACACTGCTACTACTAGACTTTAAATTCAACTACATTTTAAAAAAAATTATCAATGCAATGACTGAAAAATTAATGTTTGAATGAATAAATCTCATCTTCTGGGAAAAAAGGTTTCCCAGCCTTTCAGACAGTTAATAGTCTAAATAAGACTCAAATTATCTTGCCTAGTTTACTTATCATGATTGAGAGTATGATTGATTGATTGTTGGTTGCTTAACATCCAGTGGCAAATATTTTATGCATATTCAGGACGATATTTGAGATTGAGAGTATGTTAAAAGTCTTTAAGATAAAGGTTTTCACTACACTCACATAAATTCAACATTATCAATGATCCATGTAAATGAGGTCAATATGTAAGATGAACATGTTAGACTGACATGTACTATATACAATCATTCCACACACCAAATATAGTTGATCACTTCAATGCTTAAAGTATCTGAGAATTAGTCCTATCCACTAAACCTAACATTGACCAATGAACCATAAAATTTGGGGTCAAGGTCAAATAAAACTTGCCAGATAGATATGTACACCTTTTAATAGTTATTTACACTTAAATAGATATAAGAAGATGTGGTATGAGTGCCAATGAGACAACTCTCCATCCAAGTCACAGCCTTCAACACATAGCCTTGGCTCACACCGAACAGCAAGCTATAAAGGGCCTCAAAAATGACTAGTGTAAAACCATTCAAACAGGAAAACCAACGGTCTAATGTATATAAAAAACGAGAAACAAGAAACACTTATGAACCACATCAACAAATGACAACCACTGAACAACAGGTTCCTGACTTAGGACAGGTTAAAGTTTAGTTGACATACTGCTTACAACAATGTACTTCCTATTAGTTACTTTTGATAGTACTTACTCTCAGTTGCTCATCAAGGAATATTTTAGTAAAGTACAACTGGTCATCATCCATGTCATTAATTTTCTTGTAGTTAAACATCTCCACAATGGTCTTAGCATATCCAATAAATGCTGAATATGAAAACATATTTAAATTATTTGCTAAATGTGCTATAACTGTTGCTTGTTTCAATTTTGTGCTATTTAAAACAATTATACATTAAACTCTAAAAAGTTCTGTTCATTGTGAAATCATCATTTTTTCTCATTTTAGTGTGTGTACATATTAATTATTCTATAACATGTACATGTATTAACAAATGCTCTAACAGGGATGATTTTACTTTGATATTAATTAACCAAGTATCATTGATATTTTTCACCTCTAATAAAGTAAAGCAAATTTTGAAAAGAAAATCTAAGATGGAAAACCAAATACTTGTACCAATTTGAACCAAAAATATACCATATTCTTTCAAAGTATACCTACCGCCACCATTTAAGTATCTACTCTCTACTTGAGGGACCTTAGGATACTGAGCCTAGAGATAAAATAAACAAATACAAACAATTCTGTTTGAATATACAAAATATTACAAAACGTATCTCATTTTAGTCATATCTAATTCAATTTTTATCTGTCTTGCTAATCATTTTTGCTTTTAAAACTTTCTCTACATTTATTATAGTTTTCAAGGTTCAATTGAAACAAAAAAATAAGGTAAATTCAGGCCAATGACTCCTAAAAGAACTTGACTGAACATTTCTGCTACTCGACTTATAAGAAAAAAATCTGCTGATCATTTTTGCTATTTAAAATTTCTTTCTATTCATTAGAGTTTTCAAGGCGAAAAAAACAAAAAAATGGTTTAAAAAAAATAATCATCATTTAAAGACAATAATTCCAAAAAGGAGTTGACTGACCGATTTTTGCCATGCTGCTTTAAATGTTGATCTTATCTGGCTGGTCACTTTTGGCCTTCAAAGTTTCGTTATATCTATTATACTTTTCATGAGGAAAAACATTTGTAAATAATCATCAGTTTATAAGGAGTCCTCTGACAGTTTTGGTATAAATAGATCGACTGTAGGTAGACCTCATCGTAAATAATCATCAGTTTATAAGGAGTCCCCTGACAGTTTTGGTATAAATAGATCGACTGTAGGTAGACCTCATCGTAAATAATCATCAGTTTATAAGGAATCCTCTGACAGTTTTGGTATAAATAGATCGACTGTAGGTAGACCTCATCGTAAATAATCATCAGTTTATAAGGAGTCCCCTGACAGTTTTGGTATAAATAGATCGACTGTAGGTAGACCTCATCGTAAATAATCATCAGTTTATAAGGAATCCCCTGACAGTTTTGGTATAAATAGATCGACTGTAGGTAGACCTCATCGTAAATAATCATCAGTTTATAAGGAGTCCCCTGACAGTTTTGGTATAAACAGATCGACTGTAGGTAGACCTCATCGTAAATAATCATCAGTTTATAAGGAATCCCCTGACAGTTTTGGTATAAATAGATCGACTGTAGGTAGACCTCATCGTAAATAATCATCAGTTTATAAGGAGTCCCCTGACAGTTTTGGTATAAACAGATCGACTCTAGGTAGACCTCATCATTCTGAACATTTTCGGCTGTCAGATTTTCTCTATCTATAACACTTTACAAGATAATAGACAATACTTGCATTTTACCCTATGTCCTATTTTTAGCCTTGAGCTTTTTGTTTGACAGACCGGATCAACAGATAATGTTTTGTTAAATAAGATCTCATACTAACCCTTTGGGCAAGGTGAGCTAAAAATATTTACATATCCAGTATCTGAAACCAATACACCAATAGCAAGAGTTTGATTGGCTGAAGGAAGTTAACCTGGTCAGGAAAAATTAGTAGTTTATCGTAGCATAGATTTTCTTTTAATCATAAGAATAGTGTACTGTAAGAATGTAAGTGCTTTGGCTAAGTGTCATGATGGACCAAAACATTTTGATTGAATGTCAAGCTTGCTTAACCCAGCTGCTCCAATTCAAGTCATAAGAAACAAATTCTTTAACTGCAAAATAATATATAGAAGTGTGTGTGTATGTAAGGAAGAAACTTGTTTTTGTCTTAACCGTACCTTTAACTTTGGATCTGGCCATATGAAATTATCAGCAGCAAACAAAACATTGGCATCAAATGATTTAAACTTTAATAAAATGTCCTTCCTTTTCTCTATAAATACTGTATCACTGCTGCAATGGATATAATAGTTCAGGTTGTAAAATAGGCTAAACTTTACAAGGCTGTCATCTGATTATATAGATAAAAGGGGGAAGGTTGAGTTTTTCTGCAACTAATTTGACCTTTCAAAAAAAGGGAAGATTTGAGTATTCACAGAACTAATTTAACCCGTCAAAAAAGGATGAAGGTTGAATACTGTAAATTTAGAAATAAAGGACTGGATTTATTATTGCTAATCCTTGACCTTTAGCAAAATTGTGAAATCTTATAATGCAATTGGAAAAATTTTGTGAAGGATAATCAGTGTTTAAATTATGAATGCAAGTTTTATTAATGTGAACCTGATACTGTAGCAATTTTCACATTAATAAAACATCAAAATAATTTCTGAATTTACATCTTTCAGTTTTAACTATTTGTAATACTAATCATTTTCAATAATGTTCAGCTACAATGGCTGTCAACACATACTCCTACCTATCTGTGTAAATCAGAACCAAATCCTGTCTATTGGTTAATTCTACCAGGCTGTCCCTTAGTACATTAACTTTGTATCCACCAGAAGTACATGTCATATCCTCTGCCTTTCTCCAGGCATGTCCTAGTCCATATACCTAAAAGTACACACCGATTTCAATATATCAACTTCTATTCTACTTTCAAAGTATTAACAAATTTAATCAGTTATGGTCAAATCAAATAATAAATGCCTACTGTAACTGAAAGGAACATGATTATCATCATGTGTATGTACCATGCTTTTTACACATGTTTTTGCTCAACTGACATTAAAAGCAGACAATACAAATATTAAGGTCTTTGGTTTTACATCAAACCCTGGACCTCCAAAGATGTATAAGCTATCACTAGATGATAGATAGGTGTAGTCTTTTCAAGATACTTGACTTAAATATTTTAACATCTAAAAACTAAAGAGATTCTGCATGACTGCATAACATAGATATTCATCAAAGAGAAAATTGATTATCTTCACATTTACATACAGACCATGGACTAGTCTTCAAACAATGCATACATGCTGATAGCTCTAACAGCATAAATTATTCTATTAAAGGCCCTCAGTAAATTATTTGTTCATATTTGTAACAGAAATCAGTTGCGGATCTAGAAATTTTCATGTGGGGGCCCACTGACTGCATGAGAGGGGGCCTGCCCCAGTCATGCTTCAGTGATTCCCTATATAATCAACCAAATTTTTCCCCAAAAAGGGGGACCCAGGCCCCCTGCCCCCCCCCCCCCCCCCCCCCCCCCCCTAAATCCGCCTCTGGAAATAAAAAAAAATGTTCAATTAATTAGGTGTTGCCTTTATAGAAATTAACTTGATTCTACAAATTGAAGAAGGCCAAGAAAAAATACGTGTCTGCCTGAGATTTCCTTAAATTTTAAGGCCTACTCCAAGCATCTCCATGGCCTGTATACTTTTACAAACCTATAGCCATGGTAAATTGATTCTTTTGTTTTAAATTGCGTACAAAAATGATCTTTCAAAATTTCCTTTTGAGAGCTTTCATGGGGGAAATCCTCTGCAAATAGTGACAGTTGTCAGATTTAAAAATCTTTATATATACAAATTACAATTAACTGTATGAAACTTTCTTATGTCTACCTGACAAATCACAGGTAAAATTTAACGAGATAAAAATTATCAAATCATTGTAAGGACTTCTTTTATATTTTTATCTGTTTTAACATATGTTGTCGAACATTAATCAATTACTATCATTAAAATGAGAGATTTCTAATATGTTCTAACATAATAAATTATTCTATTACAAGGTGCTGAGTAAATCATTTGTTTTACAATAAAGAAGAGAAAATT